GTGTGTGTGTGTGTGTCTTGCATCTGCCAGAGTGCAGAGCACGGAGCCTACGGGCTTCTGGGTATATGGGTATGTAACTACAGCAGCGAGAGCTGAGAATAAGGGAATACGGATAAGACAAAGGGCCAAGAGTGTTCGGGAAACTGGCATAGACCATGAAGCCAGGAACCGATCCAAAAAAGCAAAGATCTCTCTATTGCTTTTTTTTCTTCTCGACCTGGGGGCTATTATTTCGTTGCTTAGAATCAGCAAAGAACCACCAATCCAGTTTATTGGCGTCTTGTTCATCATCTCCTTCTTCTCCTTCTCCCCGTCATCTCGATCCTTTGTCGTAGTTCTGACTTGTGCTCATTGACACCGTATGCTTGCTTTCCTGCCGGTCTGTTTGGGTACTACTCAAACATGTCGTCGAAATCCGTGGCTTTCGGCCGGACTCGGCGGCCTTGAGCAGACGCTGTTGTCGGCGTGGTGGTGGTGGAGGAAATCGGTGGACCCACGTCTACTGCAGACTTGGTTGTTGCCGCCGGGCCAGAAGAACTTCCTTGCCCTCGCACCTCTGGCGCCTCTTCCCGTGCTGCTTGCGTCTTCGCATTTGAGATCGTCGTTGCCTTGCCGCTTTCAATTTTGTCCACGGGTTGTTGCTGCTCTTGGGCGCGAGCTTGCTCTTCCTGCCGTTGAGCCGCGGTTCCAGCATCTTCTCGTTCCCGTGTTGGTTCTTGGATGTCCTGTTCGTCATCACTGCTATCCACCATTGGGACGCCGTCGATGTTCTCGTCCGTCAGAATCGTGTCCCCGTCTTCGTCCTGCTCGTCAGCTTCGGTCTGCGCTCCATCTCCGTCATGATCAATCATGGGCGTCCCGTCCATGTCCATTTCCACGTCACCGTCGTTGGCTGCGCGGTTCGCGTCGGCAGAGGCAGCAGACACGACTTTGCCCGTGGTCGGAACGCCTCCATTTGCACTAGCGTCGTCCACGCTACGCCAACGGCTCACACTTCCGGCAGCCTTGTCTCTTTCTTTCTGTTTCTCTCTTTCGGCCAATCGCTCAGCCTGGGCCTTGGCTTTCTCCTCCTCACTCAGGGGCGGGTGCAAGAAACCCTCGATCATCTCTTTCATCCTCGCTTCCTCAAAAACGCACCACCCCTCCCACAGTCCCAAGACCACCTGCACCTGTCTCTTCCACTTCTCGGCCTTGAGCTTGCCCCATTCGTGCTTTTGTGGGAATTTGCCCAATGCAGGCAAGACGTTCTGAGCGACAAGTTGATGCTGAAACAGTGAGCGGTAGCGCCATGCATGTCGCACGCCTGAGGTCGAGGAGGCTGAGAGAATATCGCTTATCAAATATAAACCGATCAGGGATGCCGGAGTTGTATCCTTTTCCTTGGGTTTAGGCGGTTGGTCTGGGTTTTCGGATTTGGGGGCCTCCCCATCCCCCTGAGGTTTTGGCGTACCATCACCGTTCTCTTCCTCATGATGGTCGTTCTCGTCGTCTGTCTCTCGTTTTGGTCTCGTGACGCTGTAACAATATGGCCTCACCACGTTCCTTGTGACTAATTCTGCAACCTCCTCTGCCCCGGCCCCAGAGTGCTCAATTGCAAATCCCGTCACTCGCGCAACATCACCCCTGCGTAGCCTTGCATTTGTTTCGGGGAGGCGGCTAAGTAGATGAATGAGTTTCGTCTTCGCAAGTGGGTTAAGATAACCAATGCCATCGTTGTCCATGGTCTCACTGATGTTGGTCAGTTTTTGGTGATCGTGATACCGTCTGGCCAATCCACCTCCTCTGTTGTCATCATCGATGCCTTCTTCGTCCGAAGAATTATAGTCTTCATCGGAAATGAATTCCTCGAGGCGAGTGGTGTATTCGAACTTGAGGTCTTCTTCGGGGGCGATCCAGGTTGATTGTCCCTCGAACAATATATCACCTTGCGATTGTCGCATCCCGTATCCCGTGTACCGTTGTCTGCGACGCGATTTGGAATCGGTCAGAATTTCCCATAGACGCCAACGATAATACACTCCGCCAGTGGATCTGGAGTTCCAAAGCCAAGCCCATTGTTCGTCACGTTGAATTTGCGGCCGGGACATGAGCAGTGCTTCAAATTCAGGACCGTAAGTCAGAAGAGCTTCGATGGTTTTGTGGATTAGCCGGAGTTGTCGAAGATCGCTTGGGACTTGTACCGTGACTTGTGTTGGGGGCATGGTGGATCGAGGACCGTACGGTGTCGATGAGGTGTACGAAGCCGGAGGAGCAAAGCGGTTACTGCCAGCTGCCTGACCTGGTGGAGGGGCTCGGGATAAGGATGTGTGCTGTGGCATTGGTTTTGCACCAAAGGGAAGATTGTGCAAGCTCGCAGACGGAGTGTTGTTACCGAGGGAGTTGATGCCGGTCAAGGCTGCTGAAGAAAGATGGCGAGAGATGGAAAGATTGAACCCAAATCCGAGGTATTTATTCTGAAGGTGCGAGACCATTGTTTCAATATCCGCCGCGGGAGTCTCGGCGGCGAGTGTGACGATTGCCGAGATTGATTTCCTTTCAGCGGTTGTGCCTGGCGCAGGTGGAAGGATGCGGACACCTTCGACGACCAACGGAGAGGGAGTGAAGAGCGCCTTGACGACCGCAGGAGACGTCTCGGGGGGAAGAGAGGCGAGATGCAAGGTGGGTTTCGCGGCAGCTTTCAGTTCATCTGTGTCCCGCGCGTCTTCCTCCTCATCGTCGTGAGCGAAAGCTGGGATGTCCTTTCTATTGTCCGCATCTCTACCATCATTGTAGGAAAACACCCTGTCCCTTCTGTCGCGTTCTCGATCCCGATCCCGACCTGAGTATTCATCATAGTGTCTCTTTCTTCCAAATCCTGGTGCAGGACCCAAGCTACCAGGTCCACTCTTTGTCAACGAGGGACTCGGCCCCAGACTGCCAGGACCGCTCTTCAGGCCCGAACTTGTGAAGTGTCTCTTGCCAGGGCCGGAGGGACCGTAGTTGCTCCCAGGGGCGCCAACACCCCCTCTGTGTTCGCCTCCGGGGCCTCGTTTTGAAGCAAAGCCTGGTATTTGGTCCCCATCGTCTTCAAAACTCTTCACAAAATCTTCAAGGACAGCTGCTGTCTCTGCTTTCTCTCGGGCCTTCTTTGCTTCCGCTTCTGCTTTTTGTCGCTCGAAGATGGACTTTTTCGCCGAGGCGCCGAGTTTGGAGGAAATGTCGTTATTGGAAAGAGGCATTGTGACAGGTATATTCTCGAGGATTGAGGCGGAGACGCATGATTCTGATCTAAGTTCAAGAATGCTGCTCAAGTTTGACAGGAATGGGGTTAACTGTGACGCCAAATGTTCCTCAGTCTGCGAGGCTGAACCCAAAGTGCGGAGGACTCGTGACTCGGCCTTTTTACTGCCCCAAATAGACTAGCTCAATCAACAACAGCCTTGCAATGCCGAGAAGCACCAATCATGGCATTTGTGACAGGCATCTTTATCTATTCGTACAGTGCCACACAGTGCCCTGCATGTGCCCATCGATACAGTAGCAGTATTTGGCCCGGTCGCCAGATGTTCAATCCTCCTACACATGCCTCCCTTCTCATCCCAAATTTGACTTCTTGTGTCAATCTCTTGGATCTTCCCAGTCACGGCCAATTCTATCATGTTTAAACGGCCTTGCTCTTTAATCTAGGTATCTGTGCTCGCGGCTTTTTTTATCTCATGGAGATCGATAGACAAGGTTGGTACAGTTTGGACAAATAGGCAGTCGAGAAGGAAGCTTTCTGCACACCTCGAGCCCCTTCAGCCTGGCCTGATGCGCAACAGTGTTAGGTCGAACAACATTCCAGTGGCTGAGGGCTGCGACACTCTCGAGACTCGGAGCGACAACGGAAGGGCTCGCACTCTACCTTCGGTTTTCTCAAGATGCCGGTCTTAATGCGTACATCCTCACGGGCAGCAACGTTTTCGGAAACCCTGTCTGCAGCTTCGTTCGCACAATCTTCAGGCCAGCCTGCTCAAAACACGCCCGAAAATTGCGATCGCTGTGCGTGACGCTTTTGTCCTCCTCCCAGAACATATCTTCCCCGTCCGCGGCATTCGAGATATTCTCCTTCACGATGATCCAGCCGTCTGGCGCTAGCAGAGGGACCAATGTCCTAAAGTAGCGGATGAGGTCAGGGGATGAGAGGTAATCAAGACACCATTGGTGCCATATAAGATCGTAACGAGCCCCCTGTTCAGTCGTGACTTCGCCCAGTGGAGGTGAGGGCTTGCGCCCATCTGCGTCGGATATGGGGTTTGCAGGCACCGCGTTGGCCGCGTTGTAGGAAGGAATTGACTCGGCTGACCACTCCTGCAAAGGCACGTTATAAACACGCTGCAGCTGCCCAGATTTAACCAGCGGCGCCCCTGGGGCGGTCAGAGTGGCGGTAAATTTCTCCACCGGCTCAATAATATCGATTTTCTCACAAAGTGAAGCCAGCAAGTTGAGCGTAACCCGCCCGATCCCCGCCCCAGATTCGAGGCAATGCCGGAATGCATATTGTCCCGTTCTTTGATGGACGCTGCCGTCTGATGTTGGTCCTTTGTCCCTTGAGAGCGGATGGAGCCGATGGAGCTTGGACAGGAAATTGCGAGAGAACTGCATGTCCACGCGAGATAGGTGGGGGTAGCCGCCGAGCATGCCGTTGTCGTCGGCGGACTGCTTGCCCCAATACTCGAGTTGAGCGGCCGTGGATACCCGGGCATCGATCTCTGCCTGCCGGTCGGTTGTCATAATGGGCGGAATATATTTTTAATGTCGCATTAAACGGACAAGGACGGGGCTTTGCCCTGTAACCCTGTAAGGAACAGTGTCGCCTCAGCCGCAGAGAGGCACGAAACGTTTGCTGATATCCATCGCGCCATGAATTGTTGATATGTACGAGGTACATAAAAGTTCTTGTCGTGGCCGTTGGTGTCAATGTCAGATTTGTGGTGGCTTGGCAAAGCCAATCGCGAAAGAACAAGACTAAAAGGTAGAAGGAGTCAACAGATGTACAGTATGTTCCTCGTACGAGCAGATAAGCTGTTTGATCATGACCTGAATTGAGTGATCCGCGTCATGTCTCAAGGATGGTCATGATCAGGTGTATCTGTTGTGCCGCTCTTTCAGAATCTCCGATCTGTCCCTACGGAGTCTATCGCTTATGACGCGTGGCAGTGAGACCTTCTACCCAGGAGCACCCCAATCGAGATGGAGACCCGGGAAAATATGAGCGATTGAAGCGCCACCACGAAACACTCCTAGTGCATGTGCCTTGGCCGCCGCTTCGACGTATATGGTCCAACTCGACTACTTTGACACGAGTACATCTAGACGGCGGTCGAGGCTGTGCACTCACGCACCCAAATATGGCCCACACTCGGATATGCAGTTGAAGGCCTAGCCTTGGCCCCGAATGCCAATCTTCTGCTTGACGACAGCCTGCGAACCTCTGCATCCAAATCATACCCCAGCTTACGGCACAAAAGAATGTTGCTGCCTGATGGCACAGCTCTTAAGAGTCCATACCACGTTCTGTGAGTCTGGTATAGCTCGCCAGGACCATCGAAAGTCTCCACAGAGCGACAAACATATTGATTCCATCCCATCTCCTTAAAGGCATTGTGGTACTCGTATGGCGGTTGCATCTCAATCGCTGGCAACCAACAAAGGCCGAGTTAGAACATGCACATCCTGCCGACAGACAAAAGTGCGACTCAGATTGGTGTTTTGACCTTAGCAGCCGGCTGACGTTTCGAGACCAGGTTCGGTGTGATGCTGCGACAAGATTTCCGGCCGCCTGTTCTAGATGCGATTCGCACGGACTCTACTGCCGGATTGATTCAAACTTCAAACGAGTCAGGGTCAGACAGTATGAATTTTGTTCGTGTGGCAGAATATCCCATATACCTCTGCTGACCTGTACAGACGGTTAACTCCTAGTCGACAGCCAGAAACGACAGGACAAGACCCCGGGGTTTACGAAGGTATAGCTCATCCGTCAGCAGAATACTTGTCCGCGTCCTCTACAGGTTATGTGTCGGACACAGTGAGTGATGCTCAATCAGAAATCTACATGGGCGTAGATTGGGTTCTTCTCTCCGACGCACAAATCACGCAGCACGCACAATGGTCTTTAGGCGGTGCTGTTCTTAGCTACCACGATGTCTCAGAGCTGCTCAATTTGTGAGTTGTTTAAGAACACATACAACTGCGCAAAATGGAGACTGATGAAAGGTAAACAGCTACGCACACAACTACAATCCACACCTCCCTATACTGGACCGGGTTACATCTGTGGCGGACTTTCATGACAGCAATGTCTTCCTTTTCTGGACACTTTTGCGCACTGCCTGTTATCGACATCCCAAGTTCGGTCATGTGTTCCAACTGATTGCACGACCTTATGAGCAGTTGCTCACGATACACCTCCTCTCACCCATCCGCGATGTCAGGATCATTCAGGCCATCCTCATACTGTGTCATTGGCCTAATACAGGGTCGCAACAAAGTAAAGACCCAAGCTGGCAATATTGCGGAATTGCCATGAATGCTGCCTTGCAAATGGGCTTGGATCAACTAGAGGCGGAGATGTTACACCCCGGGAGTCGTGGACAGTCGAATGCCCTCCAGGTGAGCGTCCAGTCACGGCGCATGACTTGGCTGGCCTGCTTCAACACCAGCACAAAGTATGGTGGGGTCGTTCACCAAGCCACTCGCAATAAGCTGACCGTGTCCTAGTCTCAGTGTCTGGTTTGGCATCCGGCCACATCTCTCTTCGCCCTCACAGCTGAACGCGACTTCATCAATGGCCAAAGAACCGAGTGTCCCACGCCATTTCACGGTGCAAGTTGAACTCCAGCGTCATGTTGTGCAATATTCCACAGCACTTGCTGGCGATGTCGACAGCAGCACCTGTTCCACACTGCAGAGCCTTTTCAACACCGAACTGGACACTCTCTTGACGGTGTACCAGGACATTTGGTCCCCGCGACTGGAAATCCAGCGTCTCGGTGCCAAGTTATACCTGTTCTCGCTGTGTCTTACCGTGACTTCGAAACAACGCAGTCGTCCCCAAGAACTCGACATGCCCTATGCCATCGACCTCGCTCGAGTGTCAGTACAACTCGGCCTCCCTGCTGCAGTGTCTCTGATTCACACCATTGCCCAGCTGAACAACGAGTCTTTGGTGCAGGAGCCCGGTAACGGTGGAGTCATCCACTACCCCAAGTTCTACTTTCGACTCGTCGTGTTCGCCGTCGTCTTTCTCATGAAATTCCTCAGCGCCGACCCCAGAGCTGCGCAACAGGACAGGGAGCTGGCATTTTCACACATCACTGCGGCACACCAGTTCTTCTCCAGTTTCGCCCCGGCGCAGGACTTTGCTCGCGTCGCGGAGGTGATGGCGGACATGGCCAGAAATCTTAGAGTCGACGCGCAAGACCATCCAAGCACGGTCGAGACCAGGCTGGGCGCATCTCTCCTATACGACACCATGCAGAGATTCAGGCGTCCCTTGGAAAGATCTGGCGACAATGAGGAACCTGCTGCACCCATAGCGACAGATTTCAATGCTTGGGCCATGCGGCCCGACGACGACGGAGCGAGCTGGGAAAGTCAGCGAGTGATGGACTCGTCCTGTTGGCGGTCGCATGACGCTGTTGCATACAAATTGCCAGAGTTGCATGCGAATTTGGAAGAAGGACTTGACTGCTTCCGGTGGATGTCGGATGACATGCTCGTCGAGATGATGAATTTGTGACTTACTCCAGTTCTCCCTCTTTCTCCCTCTCCTGTGGGTGAGGGAGAGAGAGAGATATAGGTACGGAGAGATAAAGAGTCAGCTTACATAGCGGGACAAGGTATTTTCGCTAGCAGTCATCCGTATAGCGCGCAACCAGATCTTGAGATTTGGGCTTTATAAGGTTGACATTTCCTCCACTACCGAGTACAGCGTTTGCACGTGAGGTCCTGATACACAATATCCAATGAATCGTCAGGCAAAAAGGGCTGGTTGCAAGAACGTGAAAGGTGGCGTGCGCAACTTTTCGGTTTCCCATACCATATCACACACACCAACACATCTTATCCTGCGAGAGGTGTGTGTATGCGCGCGCTGCCGCATCTATAAACAAAGAACGGGTATGGGTATATATCCCCCCAAGATCTGTTTTCCTCCCGGAATCCCAGGTACAGTAACGCCAGTCATGAAATTGTTTCCCCCAAAATCCGCCTTTCCTCACGTATCATCTCGCATGCATGTTGGAGCCCGACCGATAAAACTCCTCTCAGATACTCGTGACGAGATGGAGGCCCCCTCCAATTGTCCCTCCCTGCTCTTCTTTGTGCAAAATATAGATAAATCCGTACAATGGGTATTTGGTAGTTCCGCCCCACTCCGTCACCCAACTCCTTTCCTGCTCGTCGTCCGCCTCGCTCGCTAGATGGTGATCGCCGATGGCGGCACACACCTACGCCTGATAGCCCGATGGCATCATGGCAATCTGCTCGGCGCTGCTGTCGTTGACCTCCTTGTAGTGGACGAGGCTGGCCTTGGTCCGGAAATGGAAGCCGGCGTCTTCCCACAGCTGAGCACCCAGCACGAGACCCGGGTGCCAGATGGTCAGGACGGCGACGGCGATGATGATCATGGGCCCCTCGAAGATCATAAAGGTGGCTTCGTCGTTGGCGAGGTGGCCGTCGAAGCCGTCTTTGAGTTCGGCGAGGCGGTAGCACGAGCGGACCGTGATGGTGAGGACGGCGATTGCGATGCCTGGAGATTAGAGAGTGGTCAGCAAAAGTCCAAAGACTTTTTCTCTTTCAACTCTTCCCCTCTGCAAAAAGGGTTGTCGGGAAGATTCAACAGAGGCAAGGGGTCTGTGCAGAGACTTACTGATCAAGAAGCCCTTGAAGCGGGGTGTTCGTCGTAACCGAGCGTGTTCAGAGCTGAGCTTGCTCGGGTTCTTGTAAACCTTCCACGCAAAATGACCGCAGATGGCCACGAAGATGGCCAGCGACACGACCTGCGAGGCCAGGCCGGCAATCATGACGTTGATGCCCAGTTGGTTCGATTTGTCGTCGTCGGCCGTCGACGCGATCGCACCGCCGGCGGCTTGGAGGAGCAGGGAGACAAAGTCGCAGGCGACGAAGATGCAGGCAATGGTCCTCGGCTTCAGCAGACTCAGCTGGACGGAGTGGATAGTGATGATCCGGCTCAGGCAGAGGTAGATGGCGGCGGTCAGGAACGCCGGGCCAATGGTCAGGCCGACCAGGTAGATGATGAACGAGTTCTTGTCGAAGATGTTGTCATGCAGCATCAGCCGCCCGACGTAACCCACGACTTCGAGCAAGATCCCGCACACCATGCCCACCATGAATCCCCACGTCCGGTACCGGATCCCGAAGAAGAGCTGGAGGGCGAGCAGCAGGCCGAAGATGCCCGTGTAGAGGGCATTGCCGGCCAATGTGGGGATGTAGTCGATCTGGCCATACTCTTCGATCGAGCAGGTCGCGATGGTGCAGTTTTCTGGGGCAGGCATATTGATCGATGGCGATGTGAGCGAGTTGGAAGCAAGGGGAAAGAGGACGAGGTGGAGGAGAAAGGACACAGGAGAGTATATTGAAGATCTGCGATAGACAGGATGAGATAGAGAAGAGCCTTGCCATCCAGACATTGAGGAGTCTGTCAACGCAGTACTTATAGCCATGTCCACCCTCTTCTCGAAACAATAGGACCAGGGTGGAGGGCCCATTACGGGCATCCTGGCCCTCTACAGCCTTGTTGTCGGAGCGCATGCTGCTGCGCCTTCGACCTACGCGCCCGTCTCCACGAGTAAACAGGCAGCTGATTTCAGCCGCCGCGGACGCGGACGCGGGATGCAGTTGCTGGAGTGCTTTGGGAGAATTGGTATTTTGAGACATGAGACAAGAAGTGTTCCTGCAACCAACATCTCGGCAGTACAAGCCTCATTGTTAGAGTCGTCGGTGAAGCTTCGCAGTTCGCAGCGTCGTACCCGAAAGGCTTAGTCTGGGGTGACAAGCGAGATCAGCGCATTGGATGGCGGGCTTCAGGCCACCAGTGGCACCCAACCAGCAGCCCTACTAGCCTCGCTTATCATTCGGGGGGCTTT